GCTGACAAGCTTCTTTAAGTCCAGTTCAGGTTTTCACAGGTTTGGCTTACTTTGTTTAAGCCAGTGATGTCAGAGATATGGCCCGTGGGCTGGATCATAACATCCGATCGCAGGTGCTGCCTCTGGGTCTCAGAGTGCTGGTTGTGATGAAGAAACTGATCTTCAGATTTCAAAACTGACTCCTGCTTCTAGCAGCAACAGCTGCTGCCTGTGCTCACTGCTGAAGCAGGTGCCCCTGCTCCTAGAGAGCACAGTCTGGGTCATGCTACTGGAATGTCACACAAACCCATTTGTTTCAACTGGATGCAGATTTTTTTAGTGACTGATTTGTTTTCACTCTTCCCTTTGGAAAGTGCCGACCTATCCATGACACAAAGCCTTCCACAGACATGGGTTGATTTCCACGGAAGTAAGTAGCCCTGATTTCTTGCAAGTTTGCTTCCTGCTTCACTGCCAGCTCTCGAGAGGCCCGAGATCTCTGCACCCCATCTGCTGGCAGGAAACATCAGAACAGTAGCAAATAATACTTTGCTTCTTTTCACTCATCTGCACATAGTAAACCACTTCCTAGACATAGCCCAAGATAGCAATAGTTCCCATTGCAACGTCTATTTACCAAGGTGACATCGTTTTAAAAATCAAGAGCCCACAACAGTTGTGCCTACCACATAGACTCAAACCCGCAACTGCCAAATCTGAGCACTCTGTTACAACCCCATTTCTCAAGCTCCCCCTCGAAGAACACCCCTAGGACAGGAATAAGAAGCCTCTTGCAAAATGATTAAATACACCTAATGTTGGGGGATGGATGATAGTTGATGTGTCCTACACGTAGAAGTCAAACATTTATGGCAACATCCCACTCTCACATGTTACAAGCTGGGTCAAACACTCCAGAAAGATTGCCAGCGGGACTTATCCCATTTAAAAGTTTCACCAATGACTATGAGGCAGTCAGGAGGCAGGATGGAGATGCACCTTTATAGACTAACTGAACTGAATAAAATATATATTGTGTTGCATATATATCTTATTTGGTTAGTCTATAAAGGTACATAACTACCTTGCCTACTGACTGACTTGAGTCTAACATGGCTAACTACCTCTCTCTGTGATGAAGTATCCAACTATATCCCTATGAAATCTGCAGGTGACTCAAAACTGGGAAGAGCTGCCAATACTGAGGATGATTAGATGGATTGTATAGGAAAAATAATCATGTGTGATGAACTAATAGGAATGAGGTGATCTAAGGAATGAGTCCTTTAGGACAAAAGGCTCTAATAAAGGGCCAAGACAGTCCAGGCCCAGGAGAGGTATGTAAGGAGACACTCCAAGAGACCAGGGAAACACCAACCTGAGAGTGAAACAAGAGAGTTTGCAAGTGGGTTCGCAGCTCAGTTTGCCACCTTCCTCTTCAAAGGAGAGCTTGTAAGATAGGATTTTTAATATATGTAATTAAGACCGACTAACCTACACAGTTTTATTTTAAGCAGCTAAAACTCAGCAGCTAGGCCAGTACTTAAGCCCCTTGTTTCAGTAGAGTCCAGAGAGAGGGGCAGTCTGCTAGGGAATTTGCTAGCAAACTGTACATTCCTTCACTGCAAACTTGCTGAGAAGAAAGACGTTTGCAGGGAAAAGGAAATCCTTCAGGATCAAGGAACAGCAAACAGGCCAGCTCCAGAGAACTTTGCTAGAGAAGGTCTGCTTGGAAAGAGAGGCAGGAAGTAAGAGACAGCAGATTAGAAGACCCAGAGAGATGGCTGGAGGCCGTCTCAATCCCAGAGCCACTGCCACTTCTAGCTCTTCCTCTGCTTGGACCTGCAAGGTGCCTGTCCAGCAGCACCACAACCAAGTCCTGGTTTTGTGCTATGCAGACTGGCTTGCAGGTTCCTTCCAGTGTTGGCCAGGTGGGGGAGTACCTGTGATGTGAGTGGTGCCTTCTGCTGGTGTGCCTCAGGGAGAAGGCAAGAGAGCTACAGGAGGAGGTGGAAAGGCTCCAAAGCATCCTCTGCCATGAGGACTTCATCGATTCCATGCTGGCAGAAACCTCTAGGGCTCTGGAGGAAGGACTGCCAGAGGCGGTGCTAGAAAAGGAAGAGGGCATGGACTCCAAGGAAGGTGGAAGCTGAAAGCTTGTGACCAGAGATGACCAGAGCAGGGTTCAGGGTCCAGGGCAAATCAGCCTGTGCGGAGCCCTGCTCTGGCGCGCCCCAAACACGAAGAAGCTGTGTGGGGCGGGCGGGATGCTGAGCGGCCGGATGATAAGTCCCCGTGGCTGCTCCCCCTGGCTCCACAGCGGCCCCCAAAGTGCAGGGCCCAAGGCAGTCGCTCCGATTCACCCCACTTAAAGATGGCTCTGCTCGTGACCTCTGGCTGCAAGAAGCTGTCGTCATCCCCACCTGCAGCAGTTTTCCTAGAGAACAGATATGGTGGTGATGGTTGGAAACCTCCTTCTGTGGGGGATGGAGGCATCCATTCACTGCCCTGACTTCTTGTCCCAGGAGGTCTCCTGGTTGCCTAGAGCCCAGATCCAAAATGTCACAGAAGGATTACCAAGACTCGTCTGACCCTGTGATTACTACCCCTTGCTGATCATGCATGTGGACACCAGTGATACTGCAAGGAGTGATCCTGAGCAGATCAAGAGTGATTACAGGGCCCTGGGTGCAAGGGTGAAGGGAACGGGGGCACAGGTGGGAGTCTCCTCAATCCTTCCAGTCAAAGGGAAGGGCCTGGGCAGGAGTGAACGCATCCTGTAGATCAGTGCAGGCTATGCAGGTGGTATCACCAGCAGGGATTCGGCTTCTTCGACTACTGAATGTTGTTCATGGGATTGCTGGGAAGAGACGGGATCCACTGGACAAAGAGAGGGCAGAGCATCTTCACAGACAGACTCACTAATCTAATAAGGAGGGCTATAAACTAGGTTTTCTGGAAGATGCAGACCAATGCCCTGAAATAAGTGGGGAAGTAGGAGACTTGGAGGAAGGGGCAACAGGGGAGGCCTCATTTCTCTTACTGAGAAAGTAGGGCAATCAGCTAGTTACCTCAGGTTTGTCCATGAACACATGGAGCTTGCATGATTTGGGTACAAACTGTTCAAGAAGGACAGGCAGGGGATAAGAGGAGGAGGAGTTGCGATGTATGTCAAAGAGCTGTGTGATTGCTTACACCTCCAGTGTGAAACAGGAGATAGGCCTGTTGAAAGTCTCTGGGTTAAGGTTACAGGGGAGAGCAACAAGGTTGATGTCATGGTGGGTTTCTGCTATAGACCAAAAAAATCACATGGGGCATGTCCCCACAAGTGGGAACATGTGTTCCCCAGGGACAACTAGCTGCGGCACTCCATTTCCTAGCAGCCCCTGCCCTCATCAATGCAGCCAGTCTCCAAAGAGACCCCAGCAGTGGTGGCAGGACAGCATTTCCATGAGGACTGGCTCCAGCAGTACTTGCAAGGTGCGCAGCTGGAGGAGGAGAGACTCTGTGGCTGGGACTGGGATCTTGCAGTGGTGACAGAAGGGTCTGGAGCCACGATTTACTACCTACACACCCCTGCCCAGGGCTTGCAGGCATCAGATCGCAGCTCTGCCCCAATTCTGGACTACGATGTCACTGCTCCAAGGTCCCAGCCCCGGAGCAGCTCCTCGCACAGCCACATGCCCTGCCAGCGCTCCTGGGGACAGTCTCCATGGAAACCCTGGCCCTGCACTATGGAAACCCTGGCCCTGCACTATGGAAACCCTGGCCCTGCCATCACTGCTAGTGTTGCCCTCTGGGGTCAGGCCAATGCTCAGGATCTCCTGTTAGATAGGAGGGTGTGGTATACAATTGCACCTACACAAAAATCAATTAGGTGCAAGCACATGCTCTAGGTGCATACACCCCCACCAGGCGTGCACACACACACTACCAACTCAGGCACACACATCCAAGATTACCAGCCTAGGCACATGCATACCTAGCACCAAGTCAAGCACATACACGCTCTAATGATAATGACATGAAATCATACACAATACACCATACATACACATATACACACAGGTTAAACACTGACTCAGGTGACAGTGTGTGTGTGTTGGTGCCTGTGGTACCTGGGCCTGGGGTGCTTGGTAACTAAAGAGCAAGTGGCAGAGATCAGGGGAAAAGTTAGCGGAGATGGGGCAATAGCAAAGAAACCAGGGTTTGCAGGCAGACAGGGGCTCAGGACGGCTGGAGCCACACGTGCATGGGACAGGTGTTGGAGGGGGCAGGGAGCCAGAAGCAGGAGAGGGAGAAATGAGACAGAAGTTAAAGGCATGAGGAGAAGAGATTGGAGTAGGGCCGAACTGTAGTAAAGCAAAACCCAACTCAGGGGTCCAAATAACAGTTTCATTAAATGAACACCAAATTGTACAGCTTGGTTCCCACACACACTCACACAATAGTAGCAGGAGAAAGAGACTGAGTGGAAGGGTTGGAGTCCAGGTAGGGAAGAGAAACAGAGTCCAAGTCCTTGGTTGAAGACAGGATGAGGGTGATAGCTATCTATCCAGGCTGGGAGCGAGTCCTCAATGGCCAGTCAGGGTCTTTCTCCAGCAGGTGTAGCCCAGAGGGGGGTCGCTGGAGGGTCTCTGGGTTGATAGGCAGCGTGACGTGGAGCAGGTCTGGTCCAGGTGAAGATGGCGTACCCAGGAGTCAGTCTTCACTACCCACTTTTATGGGGCAGACTACCTATGATCTCTTATGGGGAGGGCCTGTCCAGGCAATGTCAGTCCTGTTCCAGATGTTCATAGTGAGCATGTGCAGACTTGGCACAATGGTGGGTTGCCTCGTCTTTTGTGTCTTGAATGCTGAGGGGGGTTCCAAGGGCTGGGTCGATGGTCCAGGTACTGCTTTTGATGGTGGGGTGATTTAGTAGCGGGTCTTGCTATCATTGTGTTTCACTCATCCATTTCCTCTTTTGTTTCAGGCATTCAAGGAAAACCAATTTACATGGGAGAGGTTACAGAACTGCAACATACTTACACAACAAGGCATGGGGACAAGATGGGAAAAGATGGGAATGGATACTTGACATCACTTTACAGACACAGGCCTAAACCATACAATATTAATATGAAACAATAAAAATCAATGTACAAATAATAGGGATACAATTTAATGGAATATAAAAGAGTAAAACGCAATACAAACATAATAAAACTCTATTTACAATATAAAAAGGGGAATATTACAATTATAGTATACAAGAACTTAGCTTACCTAATACTTCTTGTAATCACTTATAAGGGATAGAGAGGGCAGAGAAGAGCTCAGAAATGGTTGGGGAAGGACATGGAAAGCAATTTAAAAATAAAACAAAAACTGGGGGTTTTGCTGCACGGGTATACTGGTTGCTCATGGGAGGACCATTACCTACCAAAGGGATGCAGCTGTGCAAAAGGCTACTCTGAAATGCATCTCATGAAGTACATTCAGAAGAGAATGGGAAGTATTTGCACCATTCTTCAACGTATTTGTAAAATCCCATTTAAAATATTGTGGCCAGTTCTAGTCACCTATGACCAAAAAGCATGAATTCAAACTAGAAGAGATGCAAAAAACAGCTCCTATGGTGTTTGAGGCAAGCAATTTGGCAAAGGATGGCTATTGCTGAGTAGGCTTGTCATGGTTAAGGGTCCTTTTTTTCCCCAAGGATGTGCCTTTGTCTGGATAATGGGAGTCCTACTGCCTGATTGGGCGGCACTCATTGGCCAAAAAGATGGGGGGGCGGACTGATGGGGTACCTGAGCCTTGGGCTGGGTAGCTGTGCTTGCCCTGTTTGGGCTGCAGTGTTTGTATGACGGGGCGGATGGAAATACAGCTCAAACTGTATAAAAGGGAATCATTTCTAGCAGCATCATTTGCCAGGGATCATCACTAAAGCCAGTACTCAAATGCCTTAAGAGCGCAACTCAAACAACACACAAAGGGCTTCAAATGCTGTTGCTTCAACTCAGCTGGATACAGAAACTTTACAGGCCCAGGGTTGTTTTCACTCTTCCCTTTGGAAAGTGCTGACCCAGACATAGCACAGAACCTTTCACAAGCATGAACTGATTTTCATGGAGCCGTGCAGGCCCAAATTCTCAGCAACTTCCCACCTACTTGGTCCCATCTCTCAAGACCCACTTTCTATGTGGCTCATTTGCTAGCAGGAAATCTCAGAACAGCAGCAAATAACATTTTGCTTTCTTTTCTCATCTGCACGCTGTAAACCACTTCCTAGATACAGCCCAAAATAGCAATCGTTCCTACTGCAACGTCTCTTTAGCAGGATGATGTTATGTAAAAAAAACCAAGAGCCCACCACAGTTGTGCCTACCCCCTTCCCCCCACTCACACAGCCTCAAAGCTGCAACTCCCAAAGCTGAGCGCTCTCTTACAACCCCTTTTCCCAGGCTCCCCCTCGAAGCACAACCAGCAGCACAACCCCTAAGACAGGAAGGAGCAGACTCTTGCAAAATGATTGATGACATTGGTATTGCGTCATTTTATTCACAGGAAGCAATCATATAGTTTACCCCAGATGACGCACCAGGAAAAAGGCACCGCAGAGGCCAGAGCACCCCTTCGGGACTCCCACACCCCTGCTCTCAGCACTCAGCCCTGCGATACTGAAGCAGCTGCTGTTATGTTTAGAGTTCATATTTCACATCCCTCAAACACTTTTCCTCTGAGGATGGTCAAGTCCTTTACAAATACTAATAACACACAGCTTTGTGTTAGCAGATGGGCTTCAGGCAGAGTCAGAAGCAAAAGCTCAGGCCTACACACCACCACACAGAGGAAATCCTGTGCCACACCAGGCCCTACTCCTACACCAGGGGCCAGCCCATAGGCCTGGCCCAAATGTTGGCACTCAGATCTAGCAATGCACTGGGGCTCTGATCTGCAGCAGATTTGGATACACAGTGCAAGCCAGCATGAGAGCACATGCAAAACACAGCTAACACTGCAGCAGGTGTTGCCTAGTCTGAGGCCACCTTTGCCATGCTTCCTCATCCCCTGGTGGGAAGGACTCGGCTGCTGTAATGTCCATATTGTAGGCCCTCTCCCCTCCAGAGTGGGGCAAGGATCTGGGTCTCTCTGTCCTGCTGCCCTCCCCACAGGGGCCTCCGCAGACCCGCGGTCAGGTATTTTCTTCAGCCTCTCATTGTACATCCGTAGTTGTGCCTCCTTGGGTGTGGCATCGACAGGTTGGGTGATGGTGAGGAAGCTCTGTGTGACTTCAGACATTTGAGTGCCGCAGGATGGTCGTACAGTTGGTGTCTCCCACTACAATGCTCCTATGGTGCTACTCCAGATACAGCTCAATAAACCCCCCTTGCAAGGTGGGGAGGATATTGGAATGCAGCAGGGAGGGAGTCTGAAAACTGTCCTGTTCCTGAGCTGGGCTGGATGCATTCTCAGTTCTTCCTTGTTGGGCCTTATCCAAATAAGCCTATGCTGCATTCACAGGAGCTAGGCTGGTGGCTATTCCGCATGACTGCACACATACGGCTTGCAGGCTTGGCTAAGAGCTCTTTGTTCTTCCCCTTTTACAAGAGCTTTCCTCCATCAACTGATCTTACCTGTGTCAGGTCAGAGGCCTAGCACTCCAGGGTGTGAGGCGGTTTCCTGAATGCCTACAGGTATCTCTGGCCCATTCCCTGGCACCGGCACCAGTGCTTCCTCACCTTTCTCAAGGCCCTTTAAAAATGAAACATAAGAGAGACTTTGAACATCCAGGTCTACTGTGGGTTTCAAAGGTGGCATAGCCATTCATGGCCAAGCTCCCCTCCAACCTAGACACCAATGCAATTTGCCCCTTGGAACTAGGACACCCCTGACACTGAATAATCACAGTTCTCCATACTCCATGGGCATCCCTCATTCCAGGACCTCAGCACTTCTCAAATATCAGAGGCCAAATCCCTGTCTATGCACAGACCAAGTTAGGTCAAACATCCCACATTTTCTGTCCCAGTCCAGAATTTCAGGGTCGTGTCTTGCTGTCCTAGAGATGCAAGTCGTGTCTCCATCTGGACCACTGGCCCCACATCTGACAAGCCATGCACAGTGCTCCATTGCAACGAACCAGTGTTGGGAAGGACCTCAAGGGTCCTCTGGTCCAATCCCCTGCACAAATACAAAAATGTACTCTTACATCATCCCTGACCAATGCTTATCGAGCCCAGCACCCCTTCACTGCACCAGGGGTTCATACTCAGTGTCCTGCAGCACACCTGGGAGAATACCACAGCGGGCTCACATAGGGTATATTTTGGGGAATTCAAAAGGGACAGCCTATTTTCCATGGCAGAAGGAAGACTTGTGCTGACGTGGAGCAAGGCTCTGCATCAGTTAATTAGCTCCCTTGCAGCATCCCTCCACTCCTTCTTAAAGGGGCTCCTGGCTCCCAAAAGCTGGTCTCTCAAACACGGGATATTTTTTACCTGCTTTGCAGAAATAGGTGCTCAGGAAGGAACAGGCACCTAATCCTCATGCCCTTCCCTGGGAACTCGACCTCTGAAAGCCTCTAACAATCTAGCAACTAAGTCACATCAGTGAGTTAGCAGCAAAGCTGGGAACAGGACCTGCAAGTCCTGACCCAGCATCCGGTCACTATACCAGACTCTTGTGCCATTAGTACACTCGCACACACACCGGTCAGTCAAGACTCTTCCAGCACACGGACACAGCTCACAATGCCCTGTCGAATAAGCTGCCTTTGGTTGGGGCACGTAAAAATTAAGTCATCAGGCACTCACCTCTGTCTCCGGTTTTTCTGCAGAGGAAAGAAAACAGTCCTGTCAGACAGCAGTTGGGTATTTTGCATCACGGTATTCATGCATTAAGGTCACAAGACTGAGCTCTGCCCGTAGCTGCACACAGGGGGGCCAAGGGACAGTGTTTGGACTGCATGGCTGTAACTGTTACATGCACTAAGCCCGGGGAGACGCCCAGGGTAGAAGTACAATGGCTAAGGCCCAACCCTTATCGGACGTGCTCAGGGCACCTAGTTAGAAGCTGCTGCTCAGGATCTTCCAGGGGAAACAAAGTCCATCGGGCACACGCTGCCGACCCGAGTTACAGCCGCCCTTTGGAACGCTAGGAGCTCTCGGCTGCTGACACTTACGTGGCTCATACTGTTTCCTCTTCTTTTTTTTTCGCCGGTAGAGGAACACTGCTACAGTTATGGACAGCAAGGCAAGTATAACAAGACCTGTAACTGCTCCAGTTGTCACAGGATCGCTCCCTCTTCCACAACCTGCATCCAAAGCAGACGTCCCAGCCTTTACTTCAACCATACCACTGTCTTCGCACCTGGGATAAAGGAAGATACATGCACATTAGGAGCAAACAGGTGTATCACCAGCATCCCCACTGACTGTGCTCACACCCTGCTATCAGCCAGACCTGGAGCATGTGCATCCGAGCAAAGGTCTCCAACGTGCCACTGAGGCTGGGAGCTGTGATCAGCTGCCACTCCCAGCCTGAGGGGTACATGGATTCCTTGACTCTGCTGTGCTCCCAAGGCTGGGAGCAGGAATTAGTGACTGGCTTGCTACTGGTCAGTGCAGGTGGAGATGGAGATCATGAACTTGTGCTCCCCCTGCACTGACAATATGGCATGATTTGGATCTGATCTCTGACGCCACAATACACATGCTCATGTAGCATGGCAGGAAGCATGATTGCTGGGGTCGTGCATCAGGTTCCATGACACCTTTAACTCCACATCTACCAGGAGCCTGGGAAAGTCAAACTCCCCTCTACGGCCACACGATTGTGGTCCGCTCAGCCTTGGAAAAAGCAGTTGTGCTGCACAGGCGGATGGACAGCTTCCCAGCATTAGCCCAGTGCTCAGATCCACCTGGTCCCTCCATATGCCCCTGTGCAATGAGGATGAGGGGCAGAGAGCAGCAGAGGAAGCAGAAAGGGATTCCTGCCCCCAGCCTTGGAGGGACGCCCCACTATTCAACCTGGGGCCCAGACTGATTTATTTCTGCTGTCCTTGGAGCTCCTTTACCAACGGCTGATGTACCAGCAACTTCAGGTGAAAGATGCAATCCTGAAGGGAAACACAGAGCAAAGTAGAAAGTCAATGCAAGAAAGCGCCAGTAAAAGTCAGTCACCTACCTGGTCCACGGTGTGCAGACCATTGACATACTTACTGCTGAGAAGGTTCCCTTAGGACAGAGCTCACATTCGTGGTCACTGGTGGCTGTACCTGTAAGAGAGGAAGGCAGAGGTCTGCTTAAATGGAAGTGTGGCCCAAAGCAGCGTTGACTGAAGAAACGTCTCCAAACCAAGGCAGCTGCAACCTGCATACATCCCACCAGCTCCTCCAGCTGCTGATTTGACTTAGCATCCTCCCTCTGTCTTGAATGGTTAACTGTAGTTACCTTTTCCCCTGTTCAGTCTGAGTGCAGGAGTTTGCCCTTGATGGTGTGGCCACTAGGACCCCTTACCTGGAATGGACACCCAAAAGCCAGGGGGGCAGATGGTGTGTTTTTGGCACATTTCGCAGTCCTCATCATGAAATTCACGGCAGAAATACCCCTCTCTGCAGCCACACACTGTGTTTCTTGTGTACGTACATTTTTCTGTTATTATCAGTTTGAGTTCTATGGGGAAATCACACAAAGAACAAGCACCTTCACCTGAGGAATCAACAGCACAGACAAAAGCAGACGTACATGCACACTCCATGCTGGTACACCCCTGACAGCATGACAGCTCCCAGAACTGGGCATGCTGACCTATTGAACAAGTGCTGCCATGCATGGGCAGATTCAGGATTTTGGAAAGGGAATGCAAGAGCCGTGACCTGTGCTGCAGGTTTGGCTGCAGCCCTGCTCCCATCCTGCCCCCTTCACCAGGGTGGACAGATTATACAACAGAAGCAGCAGCAAGGGACTATTTTTAAGTCCCTCAAGCAGGTAAAAATCTTTCCTCCTTCTCTCCCTTCATCCCTGTGCAGTGACTCATTTCCTTCTCTCTCCTTTCTCCTTCCTCCTCCCTCCCACTGCTGCCCACAACTGACTTGAGGGCTGAGGTGGGGGGGCATTTTGAGCTGCTCCTGCCTCACTCCAGCAGGGCTGCACATGAAGGCAGGTTGAGTTAGAGACGGAGCAACGCCAGGCTAATTAATAGCAGGTTCCCTGCCATCATGCCTGGTCCGAGGGTGGCAAGGCAGGCAGGAGGGACCCAGACTCTGCTACTGTTGCCCACAGCTGAGCCCACCTCTGTAAAGAGCAGAGCTGGAGCATGCAGCAGAGGCTATGGAGCTTCCCACCCCCTGGGCAGAAAAAGGCAATAATACTGGTGGCAAAGGGAGAAGTGAGGTGGGGATGGGAGGTGAGGTGCCGCTGAGTAAAGAGGGGAAGGGATGAGCGGGTGCTTATTTTAGGGAATGGAAAAAAAAGGCCCCAGCTGCTGCTCCCATAGCACAGTTGACAGAAAGCGGCAGCATCCATGTCACCACACCTCCCCACCCCCAAATCTGCCCCTGCTTCCATGTACATCACACAACCCAGAGCCGTCTCCCCTCCCATACTCCTTAGGTTGCATTTACATTTGGGCAAAATGACTACAGGGCAGTGCCAAAAGGCTACCAAGTGAGCGCTAATCAGCTACAAGGGAGATGAGACTCAACACTCCCCTGCGTTCTCTGTGTGCCAGGTAAAAACCTGGCCCCAGGTGCCAGCCAACACAGAATCAGGGCTTCAACAGCACTTGAGAAGCACTGTCTTGCCCTGGGACTTTGGAAGGGCACCCAGATGTCATGACACCTGCTAAGCTAGCCTTCTGCCTGGCTGCCTTCCAGCTGCTCTAATGTTTGTTGAGACCAGACCATCATGGCCCCACAACTGGGAACTTAATTCACAAAGGCAGCTTGAAGTTCCCTAAGCACCTTCTGTCTTCTGCACTAGACCAGCTGCTCCACGGCTTTATGAGCACTCATGGTGCTCTAGTGTAATGCCAGAGGACTGGAAAAGGGCCAATGTGGCTCCCATTTTCAAAAAAGGGAGGAAGGAGGACCCAGGGAACTATAGGCCAGTTAGTCTTACCTCGATCCTGGGTAAGCTTTTTGAGAGAATTACCCTGGTGCATGTCCACGAGGGGCCACCGGGGGAGATTATGCTTAGGGGCAACCAACATGGGTTCATTAGGGGCACGTCCTATCAGACCAACCTGGTGTCCTTCTATGATCAGGTCACAAAATCCTTAGACGCAGGGGTAGCATTGGACGTAGTCTTTCTGGACTTCAGGAAGGCCTTTGACACTGTCTCTCACCCCATTCTCATTAAAAAACTAGGGGACTGTGGCATTGACACCTACACAGTCAAATGGGTCGCTAACTGGCTGGAGGGCCGCACCCAGAGAGTGGTGGTGGATGGGTCATTTTCGACCTGGAGGGATGTGGGCAGTGGGGTCCCCCAGGGCTCGATCCTCGGACCTACTCTGTTCAACATCTTCATCAGTGACTTGGATGAGCAGATAAAAAGCACCTTTTTCAAATTTGCTGACAACACAAAGATGTGGGGGGATGTGAGCACGCTAGAAGGGAGGAATAGGCTGCAATTGGACCAAGACAGGTTACAGGGGTGGGCGGATGAGAACAGGATGGGTTTCAACACTGACAAGTGCAAGGTGCTGCACCTGGGGGGGAAGAACCAGCAGCACACCTACAGGCTGGGGAACTCCCTTCTCATCAGTGCAGAGGCAGAAAAGGATCTTGGAGTCATTACTGATGCCAAAATGAACACGGGCCGACAGTATGGGGATGCGGTCAGGAAGGCCAACCACACTTTGTCATGCATCCACAGATGCATCTCAAGCAGGTCCAAGGAGGTGATCCTCCCCCTCTATGCGGCACTGGTCAGGCCGCAGTTGGAGTACTGCATCCAGTTCTGGGCACCGCACTTCAGGCAGGATGTGGACAGCATCGAGAGGGTCTAGAGGAGGGTCACCCACATGATGAGGGGGCAGCAGGACAGGTCCTACGAGGAGAGGCTAAGGGACCTGAACCTGTTCAGCCTCCACAAGAGAAGGCTGAGGGGATCTAGTGGCCTGTTACAAAGTAGTCAGAGGGGACCAGCAGGCACTGGGGGAGTCCCTGTTCCCCCGAGCACTACCAGGAGTGACTAGAAATAACGGTCACAAGCTGGCAGAGGGTAGATTCAGACTAGACATCAGGAGGCGCTACTTCACTGTCAGGGTGGCTAGGACCTGGAACCAACTTCCAAGAGAAGTGGTGCTGGCTCCTACCCTGGGGGTCTTGAAGAGGAGGTTAGACGAACACTTTGCTGGGGTCGTTTGACCCCAGTACTTTTTCCTGCCATGGCAGGGGGTCGGACTTGATGGTCTGCTCAGGTCCCTTCTGACCCTAAAAACTATGAAACTATGAAACTATTAGCCACTGCTTGAAAGGCAAGGGTCTGATCTCCCCCAGGTACAACATGGAAGTGAGGAGGCACTGGGGCTGGCAGAGGTGAAAGGATGCCATCAGCATTCTTTTCCTAAATAATAAAACATTCATCCTATTTCTTTAAATGAAATGCATAAAGCCCTGCTGGCAATCTACGTGACTACTGCCAGGCTCCAGAGGGATGCAAAAATAAGTTAGAAGCAGAACCCCAGACTCTGGAGATCTGGTCCTGTGCCTGGGGTGAAGGGGGAACAAGAATAAAGTCACATTCAACATTTCAGTCTCTTTACCTTCATCACAAAATTTACATCTTCTGCACTCCTCTAAGCCATTGGGATGGTCTGTGTATGTGTTCCCAACACAAGGAATGCAGCTTGTGGAGGAGAAATTGTTGCAATGTTTCTGGACTCGCTGACCTAAAAGCACACAAAACCATTAGCTCCTGTCTGAACCAAAGCAGTGTATTTGATACCTTCTTCATGGACAGATTACATACAGTCACATGCAACTGCACATTATGGTGCACATCCAGTCCATACCCAGTTTGCACCTTCTCTAGAAGGAAGAAATACAGCCCAGAAATATTCCTACAGCTAAAATGGTACCTTTCTCAAATGGGAGACTTAAAACAAACAGGCTAAAATCCAGAGTTCTCATTGGGGAGTACTCTACCAATTTGGCGACTGTCACCCATCAGACCAGTTCTGTTTGCACAACACAGCTACAGGATGGATGGGCACAAGGGATGGAGTGTGTGTGACCATGCTGTTATGTTGTTATCCCCGCTGCACTCATGCTTCCAGTCTGTGGAGCAGGACACGGGCCCTGTGACGCATGTACATGTCCTCATGTGACTGTGCAGGGTCTTGGCTCCTCAGAAGATGGAATCCCAGGGACTGCAGATCTCCCTGGGGAGTCCCCAAGTGAATTGGTGTCTGCAGGGATGCTCTCCACAGCAGGGGCCATGTGAGAGCCTGGTGACTGCCTGGGAAGAGGGGTTAAAGGAGCTGGTGATAAGGGCCTCTTGAAAGCACCCTGTAGGACTCTGGCCAGGGGCAGGACTGAAACTGGGTGACAGAAGAAGTCCCTGGCTACAGGGAACCAGGGTAACATAAACTGGCAATTGCCTGTGTTAGGGTTTCCATGGAAAGAGAATCACATTGTGTCCAGCAATGAGCAAGGGTCTTTGTAAGACCATCCCCACTCCCACCAGTACGCTGCCAGGCTAAGGCCCAGACAGCCAGCAAAGAGACGATGAGCGCAGCTTGGCCAAAGCCATGCAGAAAATCTCTTTTGGGATCTCCTGTGTTCTACACAGAGCCTCAGCCAAGAGATTCACCCACCCCACATCCTCCTCTGAGGCATTAATAACATGCATTGTAAATGTGGCTATGCCCAAAAGTTTAGCTCCCGGTGCAGCCTGGGCTGCAAAATTTTGCTCTTAAAGCACTGAAAAATATCATACTTCCAACACAGATCTGACAGCAAAACCTGTGGGGTGGATGCAGCTCTGCCCACAGATAGGTGCCTTTATCAGCTTCTCTCATGCTGTTGCGAAGATAGCCAGTTCCTTCTGTTAGCACATGTTGCGTCTACACCCGGGCACTCTGCTGATATACATAAATGGGTTCTGCAGGGTAGAGAACTCGCATCCCACCACTGTCACTCCAATTGTACAAGGTTTGGTGTCTGGAGTTGTGTCCAGAGACCAAGTAGCCTAGAAGAAGAGGCCAGGCAAGAGGGCTGCTTTAGGGAAGGGCTTAGTTTCAAAAACAAACCACATTTATGTACCTGGACTGCACATGGGGCAGCACTCGTCATGTACTGCGTACTCTCCTGGACTGCATGCCACAGCTTCTGAGGGAACTGCTCTTATTACCAAGAACACGAGAAAAGTCTTTAGGGAGAAAAAGAAGAAAGGGTTTTTGTTTTGTACAACACCAGGGATATAGTATCCTGCATGCAGCCCTGCAGGCTCGAAAGCACACAGCAAGATACACGGCAGCATCAGAGCACTGGGAGGCTTTGGCCTGTAACAGCTGAAAAACCCAATGGTGATAGCACTTAGAGCC